AGACTGGACAGGGTGAACCATGTTATATGCATTTTCAAAACAATTATAGGTGAACATATGTTCTTGACATGTAAGTAATGTTTCTCCTTTGTTTTCCAGCAAAGAAGGGTTTGTCATGTAGATAATGCTAGAAAGCATCAGTAGTTTTGCATCATGTTGCAGTTTATTCTCCTTTAAGACAAATAATGTCCTTCAGAAAAAACAGTTCAATATCCAGTCAAAACTAATAAATCAGGCATAATCTTGGTTAAATAAAGCAGTCAAAGTGCATATAGCTAACTGAACTGAAGCACAAATCCGGTAAACCACTTGGGGAATGTAATATTAGTTAAATGTCAGATTAACATGTTCCATTGGTTGCTCATTACTAGACATCCTCTAACAATCTCCTACCATAAACTTTATAACACAATTTATATCTGATGTCCCATAACTCATCAATTAATAATGAACCTTTTCTTTTAAAAAAATCTTAACGTTATACTTTAGGAGGACAATTTACATGTACTTTCATACTCCAGTTGTGACACTACAGTATAGTAGATAGAGTGTGAATTAAATTTCAATTTGAGGTTGCTGTGCGGAAAGCTTGTCGATTACTTCTTATTTGTTCATCGCAAATCATAAATATAAAAAGAAACTAATGTTAGAGATAAATGTGTTAATGCTCATTTAACACAGTTCCTAATGATCATCCTGATGTGGTTAATGCTTTGTATATCAGAAATATTTGCAACATATGATTTTGAGAACTAACAAAGTTCGTATCTCAAGATTATTAAATTATTCAAGATGGATAGCCTTAAAAGATATTGATTGCAAGTATTAAGTATTAACTCAAGCCTGCATTACCAAGAAAGATAGAAGGAGGTTCCTTACTTCAGATACTTTAATCTTCTTAACTCCATCTTCACTTCCAAAATCAATACTTGGGCCTTCTGAAACCTAACATCATAAATATGTTAGGTAAACAAGGAGAGAATTATAACAATGTGGGAAACAAATGTGAGAATGGGCACAAATCATAATCAGGATGTACTGAGAATCGAACACAAAGAACTAGCCACCAACGAAGTAGAAAATAATGGAAATGGCAAAAGGACAAGTGTTGCCTATGTTACATATCCTGAAAAAAAAAAAACACTGCACCAAAGTCAATCCAAATTGATAAGGGCATGGGTGTGAGATACCACCGCACTTGGTTAATTCACCTAGGCTGCATTGGCTACAACTATGGTATGGCTGAGAAGCATAGGTTGGCTGTGTTTTTGGTTTCAAATTTTGGGTTTTACATAAGTATTCAGATAAAGTATTCTGAAAAATTGTAATTGCATGTGATATACTTATGGAATAAAAGCTTAGATATTTAAAGCAATTTATTTGTATTTGTTTTTGTCGGATGATCTTTCAAATGAATTAGTCATATAAATATATATGTTATACTATACATTTATTACCAGTATCTCAGCACCCGTACTGACCACATTTTCTAGTTCCCCAATCCTAAGATTTAGGTGATGACATATCATACTTCTAGATCCGCACCCATACAACCACACATGTATCCATCTATCACACATTTTGGTTGACGTGACTAAGAGGAGGACTAGCCTATGTACAACGAATTTGGAACATAGTACTTTGGAGATGGTTCTAACTATGCTTTCTTTAGGTACCATATCCTTTTTATTTTTCAATTGTTTCATTTGGGTTTTACAAGTGTTAGCACAAAAATTGTAAACAATCCATAAACCATCACCTTTCTGAAAGAAAAAAAAAAGACATGTTCTTGATAGGGCTGCATGCTTTGTTGAACAAAGTAGCCTGATGCAATCCAAGTCTAACAAGGAGTTCACACCATTCGAAAGTTTCAAAATCACAATCCCACCTTTCCAGCTTAGTTACTAATGGCCTCAAGATAGTGTTTAACAACAATTCAGTCTTAATAAAATATGTAGCCATTTACCTCTGAATATTGGAAGGAACGTATCCAATTCAGCAGTTTTGGAATTGCCTCAATCAATGTCTTGTGAGTATCATTTTCATCAACTGCAATTACCACAAGTTTGAGAAGTTTCAGCATTGAAAGGAATGGACAGTTTAAGTGCTTTGCTGTAGACTTGTCGTTGAGAATCATCTTTCCAGGACTTCTAAGAAAGCATTTTCCAGATGGCCAACGTAATAATTACGACTTCACAAAGTAGCAATTGGGAGAAACTTATGTTCCTCACCTCCACATGCATATAGGCTCTCAAGACTTTTCTGGCGCACTATCCTTGCATAATCCTCCAAGAATTCTTGTGCAGGAGACTCTCTGATCAGCCCAGCCTGGCAAAAAGCATCAGTCGCTTTCAATGGCATAGTTTATAGTACATGCAAAGCAGTGAAAATTTAAACTATGATAATAAATGTGCCTATGGCCATAGAAAGCAAGAAATTTTCATCCGTAAAACCTGAAACATCTGATGCAATTATGTGCCAATCAATGCTGCAGCTGAATACTCGCCAGATTTTAACCTCTCATCCAGCACAGCTCGCCTTGAGCAACTGAAACTGGAAGCAACCTAACAGAGTACTCAACGTTCAAGAACAATGGAGAAAGAAGAATCATCAACTGATGGAAGCAAGACTTTGCAGAAGCTGGAACAGTGAAAGACAATATGTTGAGTAATCGAAACAAACAACTGAAAAATAATTGCACAGACATACCCTTGTTCCAGAGACTAAAATATCTGGATGAACAATGAGAAAATTCTTCTCACGGTTTATTTCACATTTTTCTTCGCTGTCAAACTCACCAATGACATGAATAGTATCTCCTGGTGCAACAACACTATAGCACCTGGAAAGCAAGTAAGTTCCTCATCATAATTGTCTGTCAACAATCAGAATTACAAAGATTAAG